GATTTGTAGCTAACGAATGTTGTTAGGGAAACGTTTATAGAATAGCTAAATTGTTAAAATTGTCGTTTAGCTGACTTAACAATAACAAGAGTTGTTAAAATCGCGTAGTGAATCGCACCACAGTAGTGCGATTCACTAACTTTTAACAATGCGACTTATCGAGTTGTAAGCTAACAATTTTTGTTGTTTGCAGTAACGATTGTGCGATTCACTAACTGTGCTGCCGCTATTGGGCACAAATCCATTGCATATGCCAAGGCACTCGCGTGAGCTCAAAGTTTACAGGCAATTTATGTGGAAGAAAATGCGCAACACCCTCCACAAAAAAACATTCTAAAAAATCAACGGTAACTTTTAGCGACATGAAACTTGCACTCTATTGGACTAAAATTGAATGGGCTACAAAATTGCACACCCGAAAATCTTATAAAGGTTATCAATAAAAAGTTAGAAAGCTTGGTGTAAATTTTTTTAAGTTTGATTCATTTTTGTTAACTTTATGCAAGCTTTGAAACTTTCATTTATGTGGTTTCTGTTGAAATATAGTAGATGGAACTACTAAAAATAAAATTATTTAAAATAATAAATAAATACACATAAGTAGTAAACACCATAATTTTGAATTTTGTTGACATAGTTTACACGCAGCTGTAAATAAAAAGTTTACAAAAAACATTTAACACGAAAAAGATTGTTAATATTACAAAAAAATCACTGTATGCACATTTTGTTGCTAAGTCCCAATTTAAAAATTGTACACGAGAGGAGAAAACTTTTTATAGTCATTTTCTTCAAGTATTTCGCAAAACTTTGAATACAACATTTTGCCTGTTTAAAGCAAAGCAAAACTCCATACGAATCAGAGGGATTCGATCTTTGTTAAAGATTTCGACCTATTTTGGCCTTATCGCATTTTCGGAGCTTTTTTTGGACTTAGCAAATTTTCCTTTCATTGAATATTTATAACCGAGAAAGCATAAAACATGGACCTTTACCCTTTTCGAATCGACGCATTCTTAATTTCTCTAGCCTCTTGTATCAATATATGTGTTTTCATAAAAAGTGGACTTAGCTACTTTTCTCTCTAAGCTACCGATATATAATATTTATATTTTTAATAAACGATGTACACGTATTAAATTGAAAACTTTAATTATTAAATTCCCTTTAATTCAAGGCATATTCAGTTCCTGTAAGATTAAAAAAATAGGCTTTCACCTTTTAACTTCCACTTTTCTATATTTGTTTAGTCCCTATTGGAAAATTATAACCGGAACACATATAGACAAGTGTTGTAACAAACTATTGTTTTTTTGTTATTTAATTTGTATTACTTGTTTTAATAGTTTATTCTGCACCTAAAATCGTACAAACTGTAGCTTCAAACCTTGTGCAACATTTAAACAAACTTTCGTAAAACTTCAAGTTTTTTATCAGAATAATAAACGAATTATGTATGCAGTTTTGTAGCCCATTAAATTTTAATACTTGCACTTTAAGTTTGATGTTTCTGAAAAATCTTTTGATTTTTGATATTTTTTTGCTAGCGGTGCTGTGCATTTTTATGTTTTATTAACAACACCAATCTAAACGTCGTCAAATTAGCGGCCTTCGTTATCGTTAGCGACAACAGCTGAATTGGCGCTAACGAATATTGTTAGGGAAACGTTTACTGAGTAGCTAAATTGTTAAAATTGTCGTTTAGCTGACTTAACAATAACAAGAGTTGTTAAAATCGCGTAGTGAATCGCACCACAGGTGTTGAATATGTTTTTGGTGTCGCTGAACACGAATCTGTACTCCGTTTTGCTCTATCGTGTCAGGATTTGCTTTTAACCTCAAAACACATTGCGAAAGTTTCCGTCGTAGACAGTGCTGTCGTGGTTTTGTTTTGTTTCCCAGAAGATAATTAAGCTAGGTCTTCTTAAGTGAAGGCCTACCCTTGAAGGGCTGAAAAATGCTTCCCTGCAGAAGGGCTTTTCCATTTACAATTTACGCGAATGAATAAATTTATATTCTTTAGCATTACAAATGTATTTCATTATTCATTTTAAGTTGCAATAACACATAGTTGATATAAACTTTAAGCAAATACTTTAACTATGTATGAATTTTATAAATTAAAGAAAACACTTTGAATGAACTCCTCTAAAAGCCATTCTGAAGGCCTTCTATGGGTAGCGAAAGAAGAAGCCCCTCAATTGATAACAGTCCATACAAAACAAAAAGGAATGTAGAGTGGAAGGCCTCTTAACTCTATGAAAGACCTATCGGAAGGGCTTTTAACTCCTGAAATTATCTACTGTTTTCTATATTTAATACAGCCATGTATTCACGTTCACAACTCACATTCGCCGTTTTAATTGAACTAGTGTTCGCCCAGCGGTTGAAATTCAACCGCTAAAATTAAGGATAGTTTATGTGAGTTGAGTTGAGCTGAAATAAAATTTGTTGGAATGGGTTAAGTGGAGGGGAGTTTAGCTTAGTACTTAGCATAACATAACATAGAATAGCATTAGATTCAATAACATAACATATGTAGCATAACACATCACAATATAACTGTATAATTGTGACGCCTTCTCGTTATCAGCACGAAGGCTGTCATA